TGCTGCTTTCTAGTCCTTCGTGATTTGTTAAATTTTCACTTAATTTTTATAGAATTAATGAATAAGATTGCGAAAGCCTATACGGGAAAGTCGACCATGATTTTGTAGTGCATAGACAGGCGTCAAAGAATTATTTTATACTACTCTGATGAAGTTCGACGAACAAAATATTTTTTATTTGAGTGATAATTGAGGCTTCTGTTAAAAAGGCAAAAATTAGTCCAAAAAATGCTACATTGATTTTTTCACTTTGCCTGGCTTGATGTTCGGAAAGTTCTAAATAATACATTGATCCATAGATCTTGAATACTGCATCGAACGAGGGTGGGCTCATCAGATTTCCGATGCCATCTGGTCCATCACAATCACAAAACGCCATTCAAGAAAAAATACATTTAACATTCTCACGGGTAAACTGTGTCTCAAATACAAAAAGTCACACAATTTTTGATAACAGATGGTAAATCTAAGAATATAACTGGAGAAATGAGACTTTTTGGAACACGAGAAAGTTTATCCCACAGGTCTCTAATGTCAACTGTATCATGCTGTCACTCATACGAGGCTGTCGCAAAAGGTTGAAAGTGACTCGCAGTGAGTGAGTGATTACTATTTTTCACATTCCTATTGAAAAACGAAGAGAAACAACAAATTTTTGGTAAGATAATATAAATGACGAATATTGACATGTGAAGTATGTAGCGAATACCAAGGGAAGAAACGATTTTTATTCCTTCGGCCCGTTTACGATGAAAAATCAAATTTAGAGCTTCTGACACATCGTAAACAACATAACCATGTCGTATAAGTACTGTTCACACAATCACTGTAAACACGAGACTAATTGTTTAACAGATGGCGTTAAATGCATATGTAAGTGCTTCCAATGTTATACTGGTCTAGAATGTGTACGAAACTTAACTATCTTTATTCCTACGTATACAGACTGGTCATATAATATACCAAACGTAAAAGATCAGTTTTTCATTGGATTTCAATGTTTTGTGATAATTATATTAATCGATAATCTTCTATGTATTCAAACAATAGTATCAAGAAGAAAATTTTTCATAACAAATTGAGGTGTTCATCTAATTGTTTTAAGTGTGATGTGTATTGCCATGAGAATTGTTATTCAAATAATAATAATAAATAATCTAGATGAAATCAAACATTCAATTAATTTTATGAAACTTTCATTGGTTTCTTCATTTTTTTTATGTAAGCATATGGTTAAGTAGTTTTATTTCAATCGAAAGGATGATGATTTGAAGGTAATATGTTGATATTCAGTTACATTACAAAAAATGGAGATCTTTGATATTATCAGTCTGTCTGTTTATTCTTATTCGTTTCCCTCACTCAATTCATTACCCCTTTATTCATATCCCCACCCCCACCTCCACATTCTATTTCCAATAACATAATGAAATATGATTTTTTAGTTTTCATTAGACAATTTTGTTAGCAAGATACTCGCAGTCTTTTATTTTGCCGTTTGAGATCATTTAGATATTGTATTCCTTTATTTCCAATATTATTCGACGCAAGAGTCACTTCTGAGAGTGTCTATATTAAAGTAAGAAAAAGCAATAATAACGCATAAAATAGAGTATTTCTCTCACTGTATTATTTTTCAAAGCATCACTCAGATATTGTGCTCCTTCATCTCCAATTTTATTCCCATAGAGATTGATTTCCTTTAAAGTCTATATCAAATAAAATATGTCTACAATACAGTAAAACAAAATTAATTTTTTTTACTGTGTTATATCGTAATGCTTCAGCTAGATGTTGTATCCCTTGATCTCTGATTTGATTGCAAGAAAGACCAAGTTCTGTAAGTGTCTACATCAAACAAAAAACATCCGTATGCAAGAGAAAGAAAGAAAGAAACTATTTCTTGTACTGAATTATATTTTAATGCTTGAGCCAGATACTTTGCTCCTTCAACTCCGATTTTGTTTCTGTGAAGTTGAAGTTCTGTAAGTGTCTATACCCAATAAGAAATTACAGTATAAGACAGATAAAGAGACACTCTTTTTTTTACTGCATTATGTCGTACTGCTTCAGCTATGTGTTGTGTTCCTTCAACTCCGATTTTATTATATGAGAGATTGAGCTTCTTGAGTGTCTATATGTAAAAAAAAACAATATATTTGTACGAAACAATGAGAAAAATAATTTTTCTTACATTGTTATGTTGCAATACTTCTGCGAAATATTTTGCTCCTTGAACTCCGATTTTATTCGTAGAAATATCGAGTTTTGTGAGCGTCTATAGAAATAAAAAAAAATATTAGTTACAGTGATGAAAAGACAATATTCTTCACCGTATTATTTTGTATTGCATTAGTTAGATATTGTGCTCCTTGAGATCCGATTTGATTCGAAGAAAGATCAATTTTTGCAAGTGTCTATATAAAATTATGATTATCCGTATAACAAAAAAATAACGATAATATTTGCATCACTAAATTATGGTACTCAGTCATTATTGATATATTGTTCTCTCTATCTATGAATTATAGATACGATTATCACGGTTTTCTTTTACCAAGGTATGGCATCTACATATTAGATATCTTAAATCATAAGTTTCTAGCATCTCTAAATTTTTATTACGATATAACACTAAGATATCGTATAACCTAGGGATAAGCGTTCTTGGTAATAATATTACAGTAGAATCAAAAATTAAATATTTCGTGATCTAAATACGACAATTAGTCATCTTTTTATGTCATCTAGTTATCTGAATGGTCGAGAAAGTCATCATCTTATTAACACTTATATGAAAATATCAATTGAGCCTGCCCACGTAAAGCGTTATGCCGTCACGCTTTGTTTGTTTCATTACGTACAAACGACTCAATGTCTAGAATCAAATGTTTTTGCAGTTTCGGACGAAAAATTGACATGAAGTTATAATATAATTCTTTCCAAGAAAAAACTAATAAAACAAGTTTTTCTATTCTTTAACTATGACGTTAATATTGTGCTACTTACTTTGTTATTTTGTTGTATGTATACGACCACCATCTCCATATCTTGATCAGTTAAGTTTTTATCACTTAAACTCAATATTGAGTGATCTTTCTGATTTGCAATGAGTTGTTTTAATTCGAAATTTTGTTCCTGAGATGATGATGACGATACAGTTGTTAGTTTCTTGACTGATGTTATTGACGTTTTTGTGATAGGTATTGATTCTAGGAGTTTTGATGAGGACAACACTGAAAAAAGAAACGAGACATCAGAGGGAGAGTATTGATAAGAAAATCATATAACAATGTTGGGACATATTATTGTTTGTCTGTTAACAACTATAAACTGATTAGATTAAGTGATTATATTCGGATTATAACTTGAGAGATAATATGAAGACAAGGCGTCACTCAGTATAAACGATGGTCTCAGTACTTTCGCAATCGCTTTCTTACTTTTCTCAGTTTTGAACTGAGTTTTTTTTTGAAGACTTAGTCCTCAATGTTCTATAGAACCATATAGAAATCAATGTCATAGAGATAAAAACAAAAAAAATTGACTATACTGTTATTCATTTCAAAACAGAAGAGCCGTGGTTATTTTTTCTAATAACTTTCGATAGAAATCAGATACGCACCTGCAGTTTTCACTGTTAGAAGGAGAAGATGAAAACGTATCGAATCATATATTACACATTTTACTGCCAAGTGTTTTGAGAGATTCTATTGAATTTTTTTTTAAATGTGTACTGCTGGGCTCGATTGGTACAGTAAATGTTCATGAAAGTGTGGCAAAAAAGTGGAATTTTCGTGTAATTTTTACTCTATTTATTTACGAAGTAAGTTCTGCAATTGATAAATCGCTCGGAAGTTTCTGACCAAGACCAGTCTCTGTGTAAGGTCTCCAGTCGACATTGTAAGATCAGTTTTCCTAGTGAGTCTGAGAGAGAGATATCATGGTATTCATTTGAAAAATTCTGTAAATTTGCAGTATATACGCAACCATAAGGTCGACATCATGCATATAGTCCTGACTTAAAAGGGTGTGCTGTATGAATCTCGTCTACAACCCTCCCACACGAACACTATTTTTCATAAAGATTCTTATTTCTGCTTACCAGAAGAAGATGAATTGATTGCTTGAGAAGTGAACGGCACTGGTTGTAAAAGAGGAAAAGGTGGTTGAGTTTCTTTGAGTTGAATGATACGAAGATCTCCTTGATCAAGACAACCAGTTACTTTGAACTGAGTACCAGCTGGAAGGAGCATTTCATCTTCCATTGGGTAGTACGAATGTTTACGAATATCTCTAGCAGAATCGCATTTTATTGTAAACATTGTTCGAGTTCCCTCCTTTCCTAAGAATAATTCTGATTGTAGAACACTTACATCAATAGTACACGAAGAAAAACCCCACCAAACAATTGTTTCTCCTTTAGTATATTCATGACTTAAGTCTAATTTAATGCCACGATATACAGTTTCACGAAGTGGTGGAAGACGACTAAGTGCACTAACAAAGAGTCTTAAATAAAGAAGCCATGGTTTGAGTTTTTGACGATTGGCTGTTCGCAAAGTAGCATTCAATACAACATAAAGACATTTATCCAGCGGTTCCCATCCCATTGTATACAACATGATTGAGGCTGATTCATCTTGTGTAAGTCCATTAGCTGGATTTTTACACCGTTGTTTGGCGACATAGGCATAACTTTGAACAGTCGGTAAAATATGTACAAGTTTCTCAACTGTTTCTTCAAGTGAAACAAGTGGCATTTCTTCATAGCCACTAATTGGAGAGAGAAATTCCAGTGGTTCTTGAGCGATATCAGTGAGACGTAAAATACGTTGTGCTATTGCTTCTTCTCCACTTGTTGCCATATCATAAAGTAAAATAATTTCGACAGTATTAGATTACAATAAAAAACCTTTAAAAAAAATCAAAGAAACTTTTTTTTAAACAATATTTGCATAAATCATTTTGTTCTTTTTTCTAATCTACGATAATCATAAACTTCAATGTTCGACTTTAAATACATTTACTTATTTTATGTCATCTGGATGTATAATAGAAAACTTTCTATTACTGTAAAATTCGAAGTTTTAGATTAGTTTTGATAATCAGTGTATATTTTTTTGCTTACAGATAATCGATGAAGAATAGAAGAAAACTTGTCAAAATCAGTTTTCATAGATTTTAGAATTTTATCAAGCTTTCAAGTTGTTGAATCCTATAAAATCTTCGAGTGCACTGTTGTGTTCATTCTATGATCAAGATTTTTTATATTTTAACGATTAAAATCAAGATCAAAAATCAACTTTTACTATGAATAAAGCTTTGAAAGTCAATTACATATAAAAGAATATTTGTAATTTCAATTTTCATTTCTGAGTGATTAGTTTGAACTTTATTCTTTTACTTAAGCACAAATATAATACTTTTAAAAATTACATTTTTCATCTTTTTACGGTATCTTACCTGATGTTTGTTGTTAAAACTGATTCAAAATTTCTTTCACCAATTCCTTATCAAGTCTTTTATTATTCTAGCGACTTTTATTAACCTTCCATTGATAAGTTAAGAGCAGAAGCAAACAAAACCTGAGTTGCTCTTTTTTTCAATTTATTATCGAAGAGTAAGCCTTATCACACCTGAGCACATCAAGCGTTTTTTATTTGAAGTCAAAGTTAATTTTACTTTATTTAGACTTTAGGCATTTTTTATTCGACTTACTTAGTTCGAATAGGGTGTGGGTGTGATTGGACAGATCATTAAAACTCATACTCACGCACTTCATACCCTATCTCTATATAAATCTAAAGAATCAAGTGCTATATATACTACACACTCCAGATGATATTCATGAATGGCTGCATGGAATCGAAAGTGCAAAAACGACTGATCTAGTAACGAAAAATTCTCTGTAGACCTTGATTTTATATTCAATGTTTTTCTTTTGAAAGATCATGCGAGGATAGGGGACATGACAGAATCGTTTTTCTTTAAATCCATACTTTTCAAACCGAAGATGGTGTGAGTGTGTGTGGGTGTGGGTGTGGCGTGTGTGGGTGTGGATATGGGTGTGGTTGTGTGGATGTGAGTGTGGATGTGAGGTTGTGGGAATCAATGAGGGTGTAGACATTAGTGGCATTCAGTTTTCTTCCCAAACCAGACCGACAGCCGCACCCCACACTTACACCCACCCCCACACACCCACACCCACCCACGCCCACATCCCACCCACATCTCCCACACCTACACACCCATAACCACACCCACACCCACACTCACCCACACCCATAGACTATTCTTTTTTGTTTTCTGAGATGTTTTCGATAAAAAAATTAACCTTATAAGAGCCTTGCTCAATCTCATTTCTAAATCTTCTCGCATCCTCCCAGTTAGGGTCGTACGAAATCCTAAATTTTTACGATCATACCCACATTTTACAACATCCTAAAAATTCCTCATACGATCCTGTTGTTCAGTATTGTACAAGAAATGAGCAGACTTGGTCAAGACCCTGGTCTTTTTTGTTAAAATTTTCTCACACCAAGAATCCGTCAAGATCTATCCAAGATCATACACGCATCCTATCAATATTCGATTGAACTTTTATCTCACAGAAGTATTTACCAGATACTATAGGATCTTGGTCAGATAAAATTGTATAAGATTTTCTTGGGTCCTACCCGATCTTCAGACAAGAACCTGACATGGTCCTGACACAATCATATTCAAACTCAAAAAAATGCGGCCACAAGCTTCAATCTTCGATAGAATCCTATTCTCACTTTTAGTAGAATTGTATTCTGATATTGGTAGTGAGAAACCCATGTAAAAATGTTTATAAGCTTAATGGTCTAACGAAAAAAGATGCTCCTTGTTCAACCATGAGGGTGTGAGTGTGGGTGTTGTGATGAGAAGAATAACACCCGCACTCACACGCACGTTCACACCTACATCCCTCAAATCGGTAGGACTACTACTGGCAGCATTGACCCTTGGAAGTACGTCTTCGAAGGTGTGATAGGTAAAATATATAGTTCTACTGATTGTCAACCATCATATACGGTTTTTATCAAAATCTTAACACCCGCAGTACTCAACATTTCTATAATATTAACTGGCAAGAAATTGGCACTAATGTAGTTGGCATCGCTATCCGAATTGAAAATTCGAGGGCATTATAGGATACATCTATTAAATGCATAGATCAGGCACAGAACCGCTTCATCATTACTATCAGTGCACTAAAGGTTCACGTTTCTACACAACAGATGCTCACGAAATCGGCACAATAACACAGGGTGCACTTGGTAAATACGAGTATACATATGAGGATGTTGCCGGCTATACTGTTACAACCAGTCCTAATTGACATAAACTCCTCATTGATTCAATGATGATAACCTATTTCTAAATATTGTTGAATTTTCTTGTAAGGATTTATTTTTTAGCTCATTTGTTCTCTTATGTTTCAGATCTATCAAAGTCAGACTCAAGAAATCCTTTTATTTTAGTTTATTTCTGTTTCATATTATAAATTAAGCGGAAATAGCGTCACGATTTTTGCACAGATTATCTTTGAGATATGGATTTTTCGAAAATACATCTAAGTATAACGCCATATTTATAAAAAAAGCCTCTGTTGCTGCTATACTGCAAATAGTTCACTTAAAAAATTCTGAATCTATATGGATAATATAGTTTTATTTAGATCAAAGTACAAAAGATTAAATAATATCGTAGAGCAATATCTCCTGACAAACACGTTTTCTCTGCTATTCTATGACTTCATTGTAATACGTTATCATCATTCTTTCTCGTCTGTGTATGGTATTTCTTCTCTTTAAATATAAGGCATAGGAATAGATATACACATCTTTTTTGTGTGAGACTGAAATAAACTAAAATAAAAGGATT